ATAGATTATGTCTAGAAACGGATAGAGACATGAGAAAAATGGGAAAGAAATTGTACAGAACTGGGAAGGGAAGCTCAGGATCTGGTAGGTTAGAGAATACTGGCCGGCAGCCTATGCACCATTCGGGGTAACAGGCGTAATTAAGTAAGTAAGTAAGTGAGTAACATCAATCTACAATCAAAGAAATTCATTATGAAACAATTCTTTGAGGAATATGTCATTACATAAGAGGTGCAGAATAGCATATATATATAAATATATATTGTTATCTACTCTACTCTACTCTACTCTAAGACTCCTTTTCCATCATGAATAAATTCAATCAAGCCAATCATTAACAAACATTTTTTTTAAGTGTTGTTTACAGAGTTTGCAAAAATGTCTCGTTTTAGAAATCACAACAACATGATGACAATTATCAAGTGCTCACTCCGAAGAATAATAGCCTAATGATGACAGAGTTCTTACAATTTTACAGGGAAACTCTGACTAGTCGAGTCCAACCAAGTCGTATGTGAAGCTATTGCCTACTAGAGATTATGGATGAATTCACGCAATATCGTGGACATCACTAGATGTCAGTCAGTCAGTGAGTTGCAACGTAGAACTACGTACGTATGTACATAAGTTCAGGTTCCCATACCACATTAGCACAAAGACGCAAATGTCAAATCGAATCCCATAGTGATGAAGATAGTAGAGGTATTATTTGTAATGAAGAAGACTAGGGTTCAGTGAGATAAGGTTAGAAATACAAAGGTAAAGATGCTGACGAATCCAGAAGATTAGGATTTGATAAAGCTCAAAGAATGGATGCACTTGCGCCATTGCAAACGATTTTGAGCCATGTCATTCAAGGTCTCTAACCACTGATGACTTTCGTCTCACGTACCCCAACCAGGCAGTCTACATCTACCAACATGACTCAGTCCACTTGTCAGTGACTTCATGGATTTCTGCCATGTTTTGGTCTGGCCGCTCCTAACTTTCTTCCAATCTACACCTACACCACAAAACATAGCTCAACGAGGCAGTCGGTGGTTAGGCATTCGTAACACATGTTCCAACCACCTCAACTGATGAAGTTTCACTACTTCATCTATTGATCTGCCATTCTTACCTAGCGCCCGCTTCCTAATAACAGCGTTGCTCACTCGGGTGTCCCAGGATATACCAGCAATGCTTCTTAAACATCTATGATCGAATACTGGTAACCTACGAACATCTTCTACCCTTAAAGGCCATGCTTCACATCCATATTGGAGAACGGAGCGAACTGCTGCGCAGTACACCCGTCCTTTGGTTAGCGAACTGATATCACGCCTACGCCATAAGTGACGCAGGTTGGCAAAAGCCAATCGAGCTTTCTGTATCCGGGCTTAGATTTCGTCAGTCACCAGGCTATCAGCGCTGATGAGACGCCCCAGATAAGTGAAGTGTTCAACATGCTTGACTACTTCACTCCCTATCACTAGTTCAGGTGCCGATGCAACCCGATCTTGAAGCAATATTTTGCATTTCGAGGGTGAGAACCGCATGCCGAACATGCTTGCATTGTTGCTTAGTGTAGTCAGAAGACTCTGCATTATGTCACAGTCTTCACCGAATAGAACTATGTCATCGGCATATTCTAGATCAGTAAGCGAATTTCCTGGTAGAAGGTCAACCCCTGACAAATCTGACGAGCTTAATGTTAACTCTAAGAGGATGTCTACAACAAAGTTAAACAAGAATGGAGAGAGTGGACAACTCTGACGGACACCGCTTGATGTAGAGAATCCAGATGACAGTTCGCCATATGCTCTCACTTGACCAGTGGTGTTCGAGTAGAGTGCTTGTATAAGGTTAATGTACTTCTTTGTTACACCTTTCAATGACAGACACTGCCACGGAACCTCGCGATCCACTGAGTCAGCTGAAATGAGCAACAGAATAAATGGTTTGTTGTGCTCCTAGCATGCATACTGTTCATAAGTCTTCTAGTACGATAAAAAATAACAATCTTCGTGTACTTCGGTAGTGATCTATCATTCAATAATGCAATGGTTTCAATCACACTATACTGTCATGGAACTAAATTCAACGTGAACTTCTTCAATCCTTAGAAATACTTTTACAATCATCATCAACCCATCAACAACTCTCTCTACATGATCACTATCTCTTATGTCATTTCGAAAGAGGGAAAAACAAATTACATAATAATAATCATAATTGAAAAATTTATATTTAATATTTATTTTTCTAAGAAATAACAGATAGAAATAATTTTGTTTAAAAGGATTAAAAGTAAAAAAAAAACATGGAACATAATAAAATGTTTTATCGTTTAAATGTGTTTAAATTATCCATCATCATTTCATCATCATCATCATCATCATCATCATCATGACGACGTGATTTTTTCATGAACGATGAAGTGAAATCTTTTCTAATTCAGCAGAATTAGGAAAATAATAATAATTTCCTGTGATACAATGTGAAAACGCCATAATGTAATCATTTTTCTTATCTTCACTAGCACCAGTCATACGATCTAACATGAAATCGAAATTTGTGACATTTGCTGCATAAGCGATAAATAAGAGACCAGCATCACCTGATAAAGTACCAAAAGGTTGAGATTGTCGTACAACTTTATACTTTTTTTCTGCTTTAAATTCTTCAGCTATTCAAAATAACAAGAAATACAGAAAAACAAACAAACGAACAGTGACAATTGTACAATAATTAAAAATTGAACAAGTTGTTCAATGTCAAATAAGAAGTTCAATTTTTGCATGGTGTTTAAATCTATTTAGAATACTAGAACCTAATGAAGATGATGATAAAAACAAAAGTCATGTTTTTTTAATATATAAATGAGAATACTGATCTAGGTGAGATGAATCGAGAGATGAATAGCAGCAGTTCAATGTGAAGAATTTTTAGAATACTGAAATACAACAAACGAATCTCCGCATACTCCGTCAACAAAGGATACAAATTTGAGAAAATATGCACAAACTAGTCAGTTCATTTGTGAAAGTTAACAGCTTTTCTAAATCAATAGTCAAATAAGCAAAGCTGCACACACACAAACACACACACACACAATATTTATAACTTACATCCAACCATTCTAGCAACGTGTGATGTATCCAGTTTAGTTGATAATTCAGCGCTATCATCCATTTTTCGACCGACCCATTCTTCCATTTTAGCAGCTATAAATCAAAAAAAAATTTAAATTGTCACAATTAACTTTTCCATGAACATGTATACTTTTTTCTAATATCAAGATTGTTAATGAAAAAGTTACACAAAGTGAGTACAATTTATAGACATTTCTATTTTGGTAATCAGTCATCTCAATGGATTATCAGGGTTATACACTACTAGGCATGCAAAATGTACAATGAATAGTTAGTTGTCCTAACGAAGGAAGTGTCTACTTAAAATTACATAGTTTTTCATTGATTCACATCAATAAAGATAGATTTTATGACCAGTGTTTGCTTCAATACAACTGTTGATGATAATTTAAGAATGATTATTCTTAAAAAAAACATCTAGCCAACTGAAGATCTTTCTTACATCTTCTCATCAGGATGTATCGAGAATCACAAAACATCTAATGATCACTGAGAAATTCTATATTGGATTTATTCATTAGGAAACTGATAACGTGAAATACTCAACGTAAAGATACTTATTATTCATTCGAAGCGATGTCACTCACGATCTGTATTTTTGATCAGACTCATATTGTGAACCCATTTTTGAACAATAACATAGCTTCCACCTGTTTTGTTATTGATCGCTACCTTAACTCGTTCATCTAAAGTTGTAGGATTCTCTGTGCCTGGTCAAAAAAAAAAAATTAAGATAAGTGTTATATAAAAAAAATTGTTAAACTGCTATTGAAAAAATCGATGTCAACCTACTGCAATCAAAGTTGGATTGTATAGACAACATTTCAAGGAATCTCATAAAATAAAAATTAACTTTATCTCTTTAATCTAAGTAATTTACAAAACTTTTAAAGTACTGTAGTGAAGGAGAACACAGGTGATGGCAACCGGGTGGTATTTAACGAAAATTACAGAGTTACTCAGTAAAATCGGAAAACCATATCGTAAATCGTTAATTTGCAAAATATCAGTTCATTATATCGAACTGGACTGTTCCTGTTGCAAAACATCAATCCACTGTCACTATTCATGCGTTTCATACAAATTCCATTGTGTTCCACCCACTCTTTCTTTCTTGATCTTCCCCCATCCTCTTCAGCTGCCAGACATTACGTTGACACTCACGTCATATACTACTTATAAGTAGCTCGCACCACAATAGGAAATAAATCTTGTAATCAACTTTAGCTTACATCTCTTTTCATATAAATCCGATAAAGCAATAAATAACCAACAAGAAACTCTTATCCCATTTAGTAACATACCATCAATGAATCCACTCAAATCACGCCCGCCACGATAAGTCCAGCCGTAAATATCTTCATATTTCTTCACACACTTAGGTGATAGTTCATTAATAATGGACTGTGTCAGTTCAAACAACATACCATGATCATCAGACTTTGCATGGACAAATATATCGCCACCTACAGCAACACCATTAAAATAGTTTAGGAGTGACAGTTACAAATATCAAGTTATTAAAAATAGCATGTTACTAATTCTCATCAATTTTACATCGATTAGGTGTGATTGCACTTCACAAAATGTCAAATTGACCAGAATAGCTCAGATAATTCGGCAAATAGATTAAAATACTTCACTACTCAATACTAAATATTAGGCTTCTCATCAAAGTCAATTCTCTGCTTGGTAAGTTCTTTGGAGCAGCAGACTGCTTTTTCGATGTGGACGATGTGAACACCAACCACTTCTTTTCACCAGGATAAATGATATGATCCTTTTGATTGTTTCCACGAAAATTACCGAAATATCCATACTGGTGATAATATGTTATCAATAATGAGCCATTAAAACGAAACTCACCTGTTTTAGGCATTTTACCAAACTTTCCGGATCTTTCACGATACTCATAATTTTGAACTCCTCTATCAAGGAAATCAGGACTGATTTTCTTGAAAAAATCGAACCCGAAACCGATACCGGATAGAATTTCATATCGCATTTGACACAAATAACGGGAACGGATTTCACCAACAAATTTCTAATTAATGAATAAAGAAAAAGACATACATTGAATAAATATTTTATCCTAACTGAACATGAAGCTTGAAACACATACAATGGTCATTAGTAGCTATTCGAAAAATAAAACTACAGATCTATTTATCCTTGTAAAGTATTTCGGTATTCTAATTACTTCTCGGACAATTTTGAAACACAATGAAGCTATTTACTGAAGATGATTATCATCCTGTGATACCTAACTCACTTTTATTTTAGTATTTTTCGAAGGAATGAATCTCACTATTCATCTGAATTTCAAACAAGTCGCATATTGAATACAAATAATTATTACTTATTCACAGTAACACATATATACGTACATCAACACTACATAAAGTTTAAAAATTGAAAATACATAAAATACCTTGATTTTTAAAATTGATTCGTAACAACGTCGAGGGGACGCGGCAGGATCCAAGTGAATCGTCAGGTATAAAGCATGGGATTTAGTACCAGTAAGAACCTAAAAGCATATAGCGTTAAAAGGAACAAATTTACGGATAGTTGAGGGGTAGGAAAATGGATACTTGCAGTCACAAAATTTGGATTTCCATCTCGGAAAATGAAATTTAAATTGCAGTTGACGAGTATGCACAAGAAGCATACAAAGTTTTTGATACAATGATACATGTGTAAGATAGGATTATTCCTGACTCTTTCACGGTACCTAATATAGAAGATGATTCATATTTTTCTCAAGCAACATACCTATAGTATAAACTGTTTTTAACTGCATTACCCTCAGTTTAAATACCCTCACTAACTATCAACTAACCTTCAGCATGTTAAACACAACTCAAGGATACAATATCCAATATATTTTTCCAGACAAGAATAAACCAATTTATTTGTATACGCTCGATTCTTGTTCTTTCGGTAGTTAGTGTCCAATAAATGTATATATAGCCACTCAACTTTCTAATTCTTGCCAGTTGCTGGATGAGTATGTTTGTTTCAGTGCATTAGGGTTTCTGGATATTAGCACCTATCACACTACCAGATCGAAGATCAGTTGGTTGCAGTTTAGAGAATAATAAGGCGAAGATTCTGACCCTATGAATAGTGTTTCCGAACTAAGTAATATATAGATGATTTAGTTTATTAATTGATAGTGAAGATTTTGAGAGTGGACCGAAGCATGGGAGAGGGAACAGAGATAATAGGCGAGATAGATTAATTGAGTGATATGAGGAGATGGCAATGCTAACAACAAGCAGGTCTCAAGGCATTCATCAGGCACAGTTTATCAAAGAGGGAGATGATAATCTGTATGTGAGTACCTGTTTATCAAGTCTCTTCATAAAGCTGTTCCCTGAGGGGGCTGTGGTCACCTCGGCTGGGAAAGCATTCCAAGTTGCAACGACTCTTGATAAGAAGAGTGTGCACGAACCTGGGTACTCGTTCTTTGATGAGCAATTTTTTGAGAACTGCCTCGAGGATAGTGGTAGTGATGCATATTTAAGATTCTCATGTTGGGATGTTGTGGTATCCTTGATATGTTGTACGACATAATTAGATCACCTCTGACTTTTCTGTAACTCAGCAGAAATAATTCCAAGTGCTGGAGTCTCTCTTCGTAATGTTTGTTCTTCAACCTTACCACCTATTTCGTTGGCCGTATCTGCACTCGATCCAAGAGATTTATGTATCATTTTAGCGACGACATTGTGAACCTCCAAGTGTGGGGGCGCATATGTCTTAAACAGTGTTAAGAATAATTCTGGGTTGACAGCACCAAGTTGTCTTCGCATAAAATGAAGAGCCGCATTTGCCGTGGCTGCGTCACCTACATAGTTTGGACTCGTGTGGAGGCTTTCTGTGGTTATTAAACGGAGATCGTGATCTGAGGAGACATTAGGGATTGAACTTTCTTTGAGGGTGTAGATCGTCTGCGTCTTGTGAGGCAGGATATGCATGACGTGGTACTTCGGTCGGTTGAGTTTTAAGCTGTTTTTCACTGCCCATTCATCAATAAATGTAACATCCTTTTGAAGCTTAGTCGAATCCTCTTCGCTTCTAATCGATCCCAGATCTTCGTAGATCGAGGCCGGTGAGCTAACTGTGTCTAGTAGGTCGGTAATTAATATCAGGACGAGGAGTGGGCGTAAGATGGTCTGCTGTGAAAATCCCGATGTGGAAACTCGCTCTCTATTTACCTTGACATGAAACTCTCTATTCTCAAGGTAGTTTCTCAGCCAAGATACGAGTGGGCCAGTGAAACCTATTTCCTCAACCTTTGCGATCAGGCGTGTGTGAGGTAGTATAGCGAAGGCTTTCGCAAAGTCGAGATATATTACGTGCACCGGTATTTTACGGTCCAAACAGGATGTCCAACTTTCCCATTTTATGAGATTATTGGATGCTAATGACCGTCTGACGAACTGCTGTAAAAGTAATGATTTTCTTTGCCTTATCAGTTTTACGATGCGGAATCTCTTTCGTGATAATATTGATTGATGATCACGGAAACCCTTAATATTTAGACACCTGTCAAAAGCAAGTTCAATGAATTTTCTTATCTTTACAAAGTAACACTTATTGATGATGCGTTCATTTTAGGCCATTCCCTACTTTGAAATATTGCTATCTTCTCGAAACAGCATGGTATCTGTATTAGCTCTCACAATTGTGCCAACGAGCAGTCAGAAGAGTAGTTTCCGATGGATTGGAAACCTTGTTTGGTGTTTTCATAAAAATAGTTGAAAGTATAATGATTCACAACCATTTCACCATCTTCCATGATACATTTGCTTGTTTACAGTGATCTTTTAATTTTTGTGTGGGCGAATCTGAGTTTCATCGCTATAATACATTTCGATCGCATTATCAGGATGTGTCAAGCTTATTTATAAATTACCAGTTTCAATGGATCCATTTTTCTTGTGACATTAAAGTTTTTAAAACCGGCAGCTACCACACCATCAGACAGAGGATTGTTAAAATTCGAGAGGGGCAAATAAACGTAAGTGAATAATATTGACCGATTTAATTAAACAGTCAGAACAATCAACGTGAAAGAATAATACCTAAATGGGGACAACAATCAAAGAAGTTAATGAGAATAATCAGAGAATATACTTCCAGAAACAGTATTATTCATAATGAAAGATGTATGATGATAAGTGAATCAAGCTAAACTATTCCATGTGAAAGTTATAAAGTTAGTTAGCTTGATTGAATGATCTACTTGTCCCGCCCAGCACGAACATATAACGATAGGTTATTATTTTCGGGTTGTTTTAGCACACTAGTCACAAAAGCCTTGAAAGCGCGTTGATGAAAGATTTACCAACTACTAAAATTAAAACTAGCGACATCACGAAGAATGGCAATATATGGAATGTATTGACTATTAAGTGAACTATCTTCAGTTCCCGCTATACTGAAATATTTGTTGTAACTTTGAAGCCATCACAGCTCAAGTATCTTGGCTGAATTTTATGCACAAACGTTGCTCAGTAATACTACATGATCTCAGTATGTATCATCGAGGATAAGCAAACAATGAGCCAATGTGTGTTGGGAAATTTGTAAACCTGGGATGTTGTCTATCTTTCAAGCGACGTTATCGACTTTCTAATCTCAAGATGCAGTCCGAAGCACGATTACGTTTATATTATGAAATATCGTAAGGCTACAGACTTTATTTGCACTAACTGTTTTCCTTGATACAGTCTCAAAATATGCAGTTGTTGACGTTAATGGTTCACCTCGAATAGCAGATGGTGGTTTTAATTCATGAGATTGTCGCTTTTTTTCATCACAATTTCTAAACAAATTTAGTTGTGTTTGAGCACATTCGTATGTGAATTCTGTCTAAGTTTTCGCCAGTGACGTCTGAATAAATTTGTCTCTATTGTTTAGTCATGGTAATTATGTTTTCGAGTTCTAACAAATTCCATAAACTTCAATTTATCCATATATGCATCATCAGGAAGCATTTTCGATTAGACTTTGGAAGGGAATTGTATGCTTTACGCTGTATGACTTTCATTGTATTTAGTAACTAAATGTATTTCACAAGAAACTGTTTCTGCCACCTTGGCATTTTTTTGCGAAACCTACGATATATCGCAAAAACCACTTGTTAGGTTCTGAAAACCTATAAAAGTAATTTCACCCAAATGTTGGAGGAAATTTGTAGCCAGGTGAATGATTGTGGAGGTGTTTCGTTGTCTGAGCTGGATGCTTTTGGTTATGGAGCTCTCATTTTTCGTCTGAACATCATCATCAGCACAAACATTAGATAGAAGTGAAGCATTCGAATTTCTCCACGTTTGACCTGTAGCTTGTTCTGCTTACCATGATCTTTATTGGTTGTTGACCTTAAACTTGTCACTAATATCAGGACTTATCGCGGAAGCTGTAATGCACAGACTAGAGGCATCGATTTTACCAGCGATCAAGCCAGAAATGTGGGTTCGCTATATTGACAACACATTCGTCATTATCAAAACGAACAGGCTGAAGAACATCTACAATCAGATCAAAAACGACTTCTATGACATCAACTTCACGATGGAAAAGGAATCAAACAACAGTCTATCATTCATAGATGTACTAATCAAGTGTTTCGGGATCCAACCCACACAGGCGCGATTCTCATCTACGGTAGCATCAACCCAAGAACCCAAAAAGTTCAACTGCATTCAAACGTTGTTCAAGAGAGTGAAGACACTGCAGCACACCTGAGGCACTAAAAACCGAGGAAAAACATGTTATGACTAGCATCAAAAGGAACGGATATCAACGAAACTTCATCAAAAAACATCAAACAAAACCGTCAACAGAAGCGAAATCAAGTATAGGAACCTGTAAATGGATCATCCTTCCATAAATAAAAGACATATTGGAACATACAGCACAATCGCTGAAACCAGTTGGAATAGGTGTGGCACTCAAACCAACAGAATCACTTCAATCAATCCTATGTAGACGAATGGACAAAATGACAAATGAAGAAAAACCAAATATCATCTACAAAATCAATTGCTCAAACTGTGAAAAACACTACATGGGACAAAGTGGACGGTCTCTTCAGCTCCGTTTACGTGAACATCAATTAGCAGTCAAACGACACGACAATGCTTCGCTTATATCAATACATACCGACAATTATGAATATACATTCGATTGTGACAATGTGGAAATACTGGATAGGAGCGACAAACAACACTAGAGAATCCTTAGAAGCTTGGCACTCAGGTCAATCAGAACTTAATAAACGCATCGACATTGACCCAATTTATCAATCAATCGGAAAAATCATAGGTGAGATTGGATCAAGAAACAGATCAGAAAGGGGACACAATCAAAACAAAGCTGCAAACAACGACAGATTTAAGGTCAACAGCCAGTCAAGATCGAGGTTAGCAGAACAAGCTACAGGTCAAACGTGGATAAATTCGAATGCTCCACTTCTATCTGAAGTTTGTGCTGATGATGATGCTCAGAAGAACAATCAAAGATCCAGCTCAGAGAGCCAAACGCCACCAAATTCTATCAGATATACTAAGCATTTGGAAAATTGTATTGTGTGTTGTTAATGAACGAGGAGTTCACAGCTTTTCTAATCCTTACAGAAATGGCATCACGTACAAACTGTGAACTATGCTAACTTATGACGGCCC